TCCAGCCTGGGCGACAGAGTGAGACTCCAACTCAAAAAACAAACAAACAAACAAAAAACTGTTTTATATGTTTGCCACAACCTGCTTAAAAACAAACATATACAAACTATCAAAAACCCATCCATTCCTTAATACACGAAGATTAAGGCTCATAATGGCAAGGTCTTCTACTATTAGCTCCAACCTAACTTCTCAGCATTATTTCTTAGAGTAATATCCTTTTATGCAATACTATAGGACAACTGCTGAACATATCTCATATTTTTGTTCCTAAGCTGGTCCATCCGTTTGACAGTCTTTGTTTCCTTATCTAACAAAGGATGAAAGGTTACCCATCTTTAAAAAATCTAATTCAGATGCCATTTCTTCCTGGATACCATTGCCAAAAATATTAGGCTCACTTTTCTAAAATGAGCTAGTACTCTGTACCAGTTGATAGATGACGGGCTTAACAGTTATGCAGTTCTACTTTTGTTTATGATTATGCCTTATTAAAGATGTGACCCTGAGTGAGTTCTCTAAACCTCAGTATTGTCATTTGTAAAATGAGGATAATTCCTATCTTTCTGGGTTATTGAAATAATTAAATGAGATAAAATACACAATATATCTAACAGTGTCTTGCATATTTTAAAAAAGGCTCAAGAAACCTTATGTCTGTTCACAATTGTCATATTCCTTACCACACTCTTTCTGCCTCATCATAATTACCTGTCTATGTTTCTTAATCCTCTCTCTCCCACTACGTTTTAGAAAGATAGAGATTATGCCCTTGTGTATCTTTGTATCCTCCACAGCACCAAGTTCTGTACCTTGTAAATAGTAAGACAATATATACTGTTAAACTGAACTAACAATAAATAAACCAGCAAATCTGTTTCTGTGATATATTCCTCTTTCAGTTTTGAAGCTCCTAAATTAAAATATAACTGGGTCAAAACAGTAAATACAAATGAATAGAAAGCAAGCTAATTTAACAAACCTATTCTTAAAATTTGAGATTATTATATGGTTCTGAACCCATTCACTTACTGTTCTCTTACCTGTTACTTCATCACTGTGGGTAGACAGCAGTTTCCAGATGAGGTAAGGACCACCAAGGACAACAGCAAAGAACAAGAATATTGGCCAAGATTTTGCTGAGTTAGCTGATCGGTCCTCAGCACCAAGGCACGCCACAGTTCTTTCACTTTCTGCCCACAGGTCCTCATTCTCAGAGCCTCTTCTTAAACCTAACATCTGCTGTAACCGTCTGTAAAGATACCGTATAGTCCTAACTAATGCAAAAGCTGAAAAAACCTTCGTAAAATGTATTTTTAATCTGGAAAAGTGATTTGCTACATCCAATACAGCCCTGAAACTGTTATAGACTGCTGAAAAGGTAGCATCCATCATCATACTGACAGAGGTAAAGGCATGCACAATACTTTCAATGGACTGAAATGCACCTCTGCTGCTTTCTTCAGCTTGCTGAACAAATCTACTGGGTGGAAGATCATCTACACGGAGGCGGTTATACCCCAACCCATTATATCCATAACTATAAGGGCTATAGCTTCCATAAAATGCATTTCCATAGGCACCATATCCAGAAGAAAATGAGCTGTAAGCAGGTCTGAAAGTGTTCACATTGCTGCTTCCTGCCTGCTGTGATGGCCTTGGAAGAATAGGTGGGGGCACTCTGGTAAGTGTTGGTTGTCCAGGTCTTGTCACTAAAGTAGGACCCAAATCAGCAGATCTAAAACCAAAAAAGGGTTCAAAATGGTTACTTAAGTACACAATCAATTCAATTCAAAGTAATTATTCAACATCTCCTATATGCCTAGTACCATGACAGATTCTACTGAAGATGTTTTAAGAATAAAGAATAAACCAGGCATGGTGGCTTATGCTGTAATCCCAGCACTTGGAAGGTGGCGACTAGAGGACTGCCTGAGTCCAGGGGTTTGAGACCAGCCTGGACAATTTGGCAAGACCTTGTATCTACAATAAATTTTTAAAAAATTAACTGAGTGTGGTAGTACATGCCTGTAGTTCCAGCTACTTGGGAGCTGAGGCAGAAGGATACCCTGAGCCCTGTAGGTAGAGGCTGAGGTGGTTGTGAGCAAGTCACTGCACTCCAGCCTGGGTGACAGAGTGAGACTCCGATTAAAAAAAAAGAGAATAAAGAATAGGGCTGGGTGTGGTGGCTCATGCCTGTAATCCCAATGTTTCGGGAGGCTGAGGCAGGAGAACCATTTGAGCCCAGGAGTTCAAGTTTACAGTGAGCTATGATCAAGCCACTGCACTCCAACCAAGTTGACAGAGCGAGACTCTGTCTCTAAAAAATAAATTAATTAAAAAAGAATAATTTCTAATATTCAGATGCTTAGAATATCATTGTTAAGACAAAATGAGTAAGATAAAATAGCTGATTAAACTCTGCAATTTTCTTGTTTATTTATGCTGGCATTATTAATAGAGTCATGTGTCACTTAACAACAAGAATATTTTCTGAGAAATGCAATGTCAGGCAATGTTGTTATTGTTCAAACATCACAGAGTCTACTTACATAAATCTAGGATGGTATAGCCTACTACACACCTAGGCTATATGGTATACCTATTACTCTGGGCTACAAACCTGTACAACTTATTACTATATTAAATATTGTAGGCAATTGTAACACATTGGTAAGTATTTGTGCATCTAAACTTATCTAAACATAAAAGGTACAGTGAAAATACAGTATTATAATCTTATGGGACCACTGTTGTATATGTGTTCTGTCATTGACCAAAACATTGTAAAGTGATTGTATTATCACATATTATGTGACTGTATTATCTTTATCCTGTGGTTACTTTTTTAAGACACTCATCCATTTTCTCAAGGTTAGTTACTAGATATTTGTCCATCCTTGCACCTAAATGGCATTACTGTAATTACTATAGTTTTATAATAGGACTTAATATCCAATAAAACAAGTCCTTCCACATTGCTCTTAGTCTTCAAGAATGTCTTGGCTATTGATCCTTGTATTTCCATATAAATTTCATAATGAGAGCTTCAAGTTCTATACCCTTACTCTCAAAAAACCCTATTGAGATTCTGTTTGGGATTACATTGAATCTACAGATTAACTTGAAGTAAATCAACATCTTTATAATATTGGTAGTCGCAATTCATAAACACAACAAATGCTCAATTTATTTAGGTCCTTTAAAGACATTTTTTGCTGGTGTGGTAGCTCAAACCTACAATCCCAGCTACTCAGGAGGCTGAGGCAGGAGGACTACTTGAGACCAGGAGTTTGAGACCAGCCTGGGCAACACAGTGAGACCCTAGTCTCTAAAGAATAAAAACAATTCACAGGATGTGGTGGCCATATGCCTGTAGTCACAGCTACTTGGGAAGCTGAGGCAGAAGGATCACTTGAGCCCAAGAGATTGAGACTGCAGTCAGCTATGATCTCACCACTCCAGACTAGGCGACAGGGCAAGACTTTGTTTAAAAAAAAAAAAAAAAAAAAAAGATTATTCTCAATGTTCCAAGAAAAATCACTTAACCGAGTCTCAATGTTTTATAGTTCATTGTGTGGAGGTTTCACTTTACATTTATCCCTATACATTTAACTTTTTATCCTACTGTAAGTGGAATCTTTCCTTTTTTCTTTTGTAAGTTGTATCTTTCTAAAATTACTTTCTTGCTATTATATCAAAATAACTGATTCTTTTATATATGGTCATTGTATTCTTATTTTGTAGCCTTATTTTGAATTATCCTCTTGCATTTTCTAGACTCTTAAGGATCTGCAGTCACATTGTATATGAATAATAACAGGCTTATTTCTTTCTTTTCAATTTTACAGCTTTTATTATTAAGGTATTGCACCTTGACTAGAAGTGATAAGACATCCACCTCACTTCTCGTCAAGGTGCAATACCTTGAAGTGATAGCTGATATCCTTGTCTTATTCCTGACCTCAAGGGGAAATTTTCAACATGTCACTACAAATTATGTTTACTGTAGGTTTGTTACAAATTTAGTAGTTCCTCTTCTATTAGCTTCTGAAAAAGTCTGTGTAATTATTTCTTCTTTAAAAGTTTGTACAATTCACCAGTGAAGTCATATAGAGCTGGAATTATCTTAGTGGAAAAGGTTTTAATTATGAATTCAATTTGTTTACACGTCTGCCTCTTCTACCACAGGTAAACTCATGGACATAAGATGTTTCCTTGTTTCTCCATTACCTACCATAGGGATTAGCATATACAAGGCACTGACATAAACACTGTGCTGGAGTTTCTCATTAGTTAATATTTAATGCACATGCATAAAAATTATTAATATGCATTATTATACAGCATTGCACTGCTTCATAAATTGTAAAGAATACATTACTTTTTAAAAATTACAGAGAATTTAAACATTCAATAGATAAAAAAGCTTTTCTCTTATTCTTTTCTGCTTGTGGCACACATAAGTGCATCCAGTACCCGTGGTATATTCTTGCTTTTTATTACAACCTGTATAAATGAACAACTAACTAGGTCTACAACTTAGAAGGACAAATGATGTGTTCTCAATGTTAAATGTGCAAAGTCTCCCTTCCCCAACTTTATTTTGATCTAGCAACTGCTATCAGTGTTGCCACATTTGCTTTCTCTTACTCTCAAGTCTTTTATAAATTGCTGAACCATTTGAAATTAACTCCTAGACTTAATACATTACCCCTAAATACCTCAGCATGCATTTCCTAAGAAAAAAGATATTTCATGCAAAACCATAATGCTATTATCCCATCTTTGAAAATTAACAATAGTTCTGAATCACCTATTATTCAACTGACATTCAGAACTTATCTATATCCCTCAAATGCCTTTAATTAAACAACTTTACTGAGATAAAATTCACCTATCATAAAATTTTAAACTTAGACTTTAAAATTCAACAATTTTTAATATATTCACAGAGCTGTGCACCTATCACCGTATCTAATTCCAGAACATTTTCATCACCTCAAAAAAGAAACCCCATGTTCATTAGCAGCAACTCCCCTACTTCCCATCCCCCCATCCTTGGTAACCACTCATCTACTTTCTCTATAAGTTTGTCTATTCTGTATATTTCACATATAGTTGATTCTTATTACTTAAGACAGTTATGTTCTGTAAAGTTGCTGTGAACTCTGAATTAGCAAATACCAAATCACTGCTCCTGTGCAAAACAAAAGTTTAGGTGCCTGCAAGTCTTTGGTCACAACATCTTCACCAACCATCAATACATATACTTACTTGTTTTATGTGTGTTTCTGTTTAAAGACACTTTACTTAATGTATACTGTTAACTCATTAACAACTCATGGCCAACAGCACTGTAACTCATGCCTGAAAGAAGCTCATCTAACACCTGTATTTTCTCTGTAAGGCACATCACAGTTTTCTTGGGCTTAGGAATACTAGATAGCACTTCAGCACTATGCTTGGGGGCCATTTAAAATAGCAAATCACCATAAAAATGTGAACAACTTCACACTAAACAGATGGTGAAAAGGACAACTGTTTGTAGCATTTAGTTTAGTAAGTTTAGTAAGTAGATCAATTTGAAAATAATGAAGATCTACAGTAAAGGACCCATACATTGTATGTATTTTGTAACTGGCTTCTTTCATATAGCATAATGCTTCCTAACTTCATTCATACTGTAGCATGTATCCCTATGGTAGTCTGTGGGGGAATGGTTTCAAAACGTCCTTCCAACACCAACATCCATGGATGCTCAATTCTCTGATATAAAATAATGGCGTATTTACATATAACCTATATACATCTGCTCATATAGTATATATATTTTTTTGAGATAGGGTCTTGCTATGTTGCCCAGGCTGGAATGCAGTGGCAAGATCATGGCTCATTGCAGCCTCAATCTCCTAGGCTCAAGTAGTCCTCCTGTCTCAGTCTCTCCAGAAGCTAGGACTACAAGTGTGCACCACTATGCCTGGCAGATTTTTTTCTTTTCTTTTCTTACTTTTTTTGTAGAGATGAGGGTCTAGCTATATTGCCCAGGCTGGTCTCAAACTCCTGACCACAAATGATCCGCCCACCTTGGCCTTCTTATATACTTTAAATAATCTCTAGATTACTTATACTACCTAATGTAATATAAATATTTTGTAAATAGTTGTTGTACTGTAGTGTTTAGGAAACAACAAGAAAAAAAGTCTGTACATGTTCAGTCACAACTTTTTTTCCAAATTATTTTTGATCCCCAGTAACAGGAGGAAGGCCAGCTATATTTCATTCCTTTTTATTGCCAAATTATACTTATCTACACATCAGTTGGATATCTGAGCTAGTTCCAGTTTTTGGTTATTACAAATAATGCTGCTATTTATGTATAAGTTTTTATGTGAACATATGCTTTCATACCTCTTGGATATATATCTGGAAGTAAAATTGCTGGGTTATATGGAAAGTCTATGTTTTGAACTTTTGAGAAATTTCCCAGACTATGTTCAAAAGCAATTGTACCATTTTACATTTCTCCACATCCTTGGCAACACTTTTTATTATCTTTTCTATTATGTCCATCCTAGCGCGTATGAGGTGATATTTCATTGTAGATTTGTCTTGCATTTCCCTGATGGCTAATGATGTTGAGCATCTTTCCATGTACTTATTGGTCATTTTGAAACCTTATTTGGAGAAATATCTATTGAGATACTTTGTCCATTTTAAATTGGCCTTTTTATTCTG